CCACGGAGGAGGTACCGGGGCCATTCCAGACACCTCAGCTAAGGGCAGGCTTCAAATCGGGAGCCCTGTGACAAACCTCTCCCCCAAATCTTTAGAGAAGAGGGGTTGGGGGAACCAAGAGCAGAGACAGGAAAGAAGGGAGAAGTGGTCAGGGGGGCCAGGTGGGGAGCGTGGTCCTCTTGCCCCCATCTTCCTCAGGTTAGGGGGAGCAGAGTCGGCGGTTGTCCATCCTGCCAAGCTCTGCTGCCCCTCAGAAGAGGCTGCAGTCCTTCAGGTTGTTCTTGATGATGACATCGGTGACGGCATCAAACACAAAGTGCACGTTCTTGGTGTTGGTTGCACACGTGAAGTGTGATCTCCTTGGTGTCTTTGCGCTTGTTCAGGTCCTCAAACTTGCTCTGGATGTACCTGGCTGCCTCGTTGTACTTGTTGGCCCCTGTGTACTTAGGGAAGCAGATGGTCAGGGGGCTGTGTGTGATCTTCTCCTCGAACAGGTCCTTCTTGTTGAGGAAAAGGATGATGGATGTGTCCATGAATCACTTGTTGTTGCAGATGCTGTCAAACAGTTTCATGCATGCGGTTCATCTCCTCATCCTCAGCCAGCACCAGGTCATAGGCACTCAAGGCCACGCAGAAGATGATGGCTGTGATGCCTTCAAAGCAGTGGATGCACTTTTTCCATTCAGGAGGCTACACACACCTCAAACATCTTGAAGTGTAGGTCCTTGAAGGTGAAGTGCATTTCCGCAATGCCCGTGGTCTTCACCCGGGTCCACAGCACATCCTGTTGTGTGGGGATGTAGTCACTCTATGCGATTCGCTCCAGGTCGTTCAGGTAGTAGGCAGCCGAGTCATTGAGCTGGTAGTCCCTCAAACAGCCAAAGCAGGACTGCATACCATGGTCAGCCCAGAGCCTCCGGATGACGCCGGACAGGTCCTCCGTGAGCATGCCCTGTTCCTCGGCTGTGTAAGACAGTGCAAACAACTGCCTGACATCATCCGCTTGAGAGGGGTCGGCAAAGTCAATCTGCAGGTTGCCCATGGCCTTGACGATGGCCATGATGGACTGGATGGTGTTACTGTAGACAACTGCCCAATACTGCTGGCATTCCTCCTCTGAGTAGCCATCCTCGTGGATGATCTTCATCTGCTCGACGATGGTACTCTTTCCTGACTCCCCAGCACCCAACAGCTCCATTAGTTTTTATTACTGTCTTTCCACAAAAATTTGAACAAATTTGAAATAATGATAATTGTTTCCTGACAAAAAGAAGATCAGATGATTGGCATTTTAAAAAGTACAAAGGAATAAGAAAGAAAGACTACTTAGGGGAAATGAGATGAATCATGATTAGAAAGAAGGCCAGGTGCATGAGAGCTGCAGACACAATTGGTTAATAAAAATGGAGTTAGATTTAGAGACATATAATATTAATCTCAAAGTTCTGGCTTTAATCTGGAGGAAGCAAAGAAACACTGGACACGTTCAAGAAAACGAGTAATACTTATGTAAAAATCCAAATGAAACAATAGAAAATAAAATCCAGTAATGTATTAAATGGCGCATAGTGATCAAAAAAGCATATCTTAATAATATAAGCTTCTACTAAGGCAAAGATATTTTCTTCAAGTTTTTAAGTATCATGATATAGCTCTCTCTAACGTCCCCTCTTTTTCATCTATATCCACATCCTTATCCACATCTATATATCTTTGATAAATTAGAAACAAATTTCTTCAGCCTTGTAAAAGACATCTATCTAATCATTTGTGATTATATTTAGTAGGAAGCAGTAGTGGTGGTGGTTGTGTGCCATCAATTCAGTTCTGACTCATAACAGCCATGGATAGGCTGCAAAGTTTTATGAGAGCAGAACGACCCTTCTCTATCCCAAGGAGGAACCAGTAGATTTGAACTGCTGACCTTCCAGTTACCAGCCCAGTTTGTAATCTAATATGCTACCAGGGCTCCTTAATAGGAAGTACTAGCATCCATTTCAGAGTCCTGGTGTGGCACTGTAGGATAAGCACTGGACAGAAAGGCTGGTTGAACTGCAAGGTCGGTGGTTCAAATTCACCAACTGCTCCTTGAAAACCCTACATAGGGTTGCTATGCATTGGAGCTGACTCAATGGCACTTAACAACAACAACAACAACAACAACAACACATCCATTTCATTAAAGTTAGAAACAGGATGGAAAAGGCCACAGCAATGTTGAATGACATCCATGTAGTGACTCTGATATCGTAGTGGTTAAGAATTGGGCTGCGAACTGCAAGGTCAGCAGTTCGAAACTATCAGCTGTTCCGTGGGAGAAAGATGAGGCTTTCTGCTCCCGTAAAGATTTACAGACTCGGAAACCCTGTACAGGGTCGCTGTGAGTCGGAACCGACTCCACGGCACATAACAACAACAACAACAACAGTGACAATAACTTCCTATACACTAATAATAGCCCATTGTTATGATTTGAATTGTGTCCTCCCAAATGCATGTGTTGGAATCCTAACTCCTGTAAATGTAATCCTGTTTGGGAAAAGGGTTTTCTTTTTTATATTAGTGAGGCCATATCATTGTAGAGTATCGTGAACCTAAGCTAACCTCTGAGTTATAAAAAGGTCAGATTAGACACAGAAGCAAGCAGCACACTTTGGGGAAGACAGATGCAAGCAAAGTACTTCCTAGTTATTGAAAAGGACCTTTCCTAGAGTGAATATCCTGAATGTTAACTCTAGCTTCATAAATTAAGAAAATAGACTTCTGTTTTTAAAGCAGCCTTAGGAAACTGAGACATTTATTTGATACCACAATGGAAAAAATTCTCATTGACATTAATAATACAATGACATTAATAATACAATGCGAACCTTGAGGTTCACAGCCCGCTTGTTCATAATAGTAAATAACAAAAACTAGGCTGCTCTGGTAGTGTAGTGGTTATAAATCGGGCTGCTAATCTCACCGTCAGCAGTTCGAAACTACCAGCTGTTCCACGGGAGAAAGACGAGGATTTCTGCTCCCATAAAGATTTATAGCCTCGGAAACCCTGTACAGGGTCACTATGAATCGGAACCAACTCCACAGCACATAACAACAACAGGCTTAGTGTTCAACAAAAGGGAAATCATATTTATTTAACAAACATTTAAAAATAATGTAGAGTAATACATAGTTGTAAATTTTCTTAACAAATTTAGTGAATATAGAAAAAAATATTTTCTATGAAAATATAAATATTCAAAGAATATAAAACATACCATTATCTTCTTTTTCTTATAGTACTTCATTAGAAATTTCTTGTGTTTTTCCAGTCCTCCGTAAGAAACTAAATTAAAATTCACAACATATATACTTCCTTTAAAAAATGAAGCACTGTTTAAACAGTTTAAAGAAATAATGCATGAAACAATTAAATGAGATCAAGTAATACTTTGATAAGCGTAATGCTAGACACACTTAGTTGAATGAATTAGTGAAACTATTCTATGATCATTTGTTTCCTTTTGTTTTTCTGAAATGTCATAGTCTAACTAAAATGTCTGTGTTGTTAGGGACTCTCAAGTCAGTTTCAAAGTGGCGATCCTATGGCCCAGTTCTGTATCAACTTCATAACTATTACTATATTTCAACCCATTGTTGCAGCCACTGTGCCAATTAAAATGGTTAAAAGTCAGCTTCGAACTGAGAGGTTAGTGAGAGTGAGAGTGCAAGTTCACCTGAGGTCCCTTGGAAGTAGAAGACCTAGTGATCTAGTCTACTCTGAAACACACTGGGTCCCTAGGAGTCAGAATTGATGGCAACTGGTTTGATTCCGTTAGTTCTCCTAATATGACCTTCTGCCACTTGTCTATCAGTTTGCCATATTTTGGAGACTTGAACAGTTGTGGGATGACATCAAGAACATCATACAAGAAGAAAGCAAAAAGTTATTAAAAAGGTAAGAAAGAAGAAAAGGACTAAAATGAATGTCAAAAGAGATGAGATTCTATGCTACATTGAAGAACAACAAGGAAACTGCGAGCCACCGCATAACATGGATGAACCTTGAGGGCATTATGTTGAGTGAAATTAGTGAGTCACAAAAAAAGAAATACTGCATAGGACTACTACTGTAAAAGACTAAG